ACTGTAGCAACTTACAAACTTCCACGAAACTCACAATTTCTTGCACTAATCGATTCGTCTCACTGCACTAATCAATAATCCATCATTCTTTTCCATTATAGGTCTCTAAACAGCCCTAACCGAATCCATCTAAAACTAAGATATCATCAAGAATCACCATGAACAGGCTTCAAATTAATCCTAAATCCATCTACTAAGCATGAGGATCACAAATATACAAGAATGGCGTGCAAATTCTTCCTAATCAGAGAGGAATTTTGAAGAATGATTTACCTAGTGGAGAGCTTCCACTGAGCCTTCAAATATTGTGAAATCTTGATGGAAAGCGCCCAAAAGTGATCAATGATCTTCAATGGAAGTCTTTGGATGCTCTTGGCCTAAAACTTGATGAATTCCCAAATTCGATTTTCACTCCTCTCTCACTTTTTCCAACTGTTTTCTTGATGAATTTTGATCCAAATTCTGTTATGATGCATTGTACATGATCCTGAGATTATATACTTTGGATATGGATGACTTTTGAGCCCAATTACAGCTTGTATAAGCCCAATTGAAAATCCAATTTCATTGATGTGGCAAGCTTGCAAATCGTGAAAACAGAGCTTGAAATGCCTCAAGCTTGCTTCATTCATGTTTTTCATGTTGTAAGTGATTCAATGGTGGAGATTAAACCCTTGTTTGGATCTTAATGGAGTAGATTGCATATGTAACTTAAGCTTGAAGTAAGTGTGAAAATGTCATGGTTTTGGACCTCAACTTGCAATTCCAAAAGTTTCATTGTGCTTAGAATGTATTTTGCACTCAAAATATGCATAAACTTGAACAAAATTGGTCCAATATGAATTAATTTGATTTTTGTACTTTTAATGCCTTTTCCATGGAAATTTCTTCACTAATTCTTCAATCCAAGCTAATTCCATGGTTCCTTGATGTTTGGTTTAGAAAATGACCCCATTTGGAGCAAGTTTGATGTTGGAAAGATTTTCATTTGAGATGTGCAAAGGGGTGAAATTGACCTATAATCAAAAGAGACTTATAATCAAAGTTTCCCAAAATACCCCTGCCTTGGAAGCTTCATATCTTGAGCTCTACAAATAAGATTGAGGACTTCTAGAACTTTTTGGAAAGCTATGATTATGAGGAACAACTTTCATGTTTGGGTAAAGGATAGGTGAGACATCCTTCTAGGTCAAAAATGTCATGGAAGTTGGTTGACTTTCAAGGACCAAAATCACATTCATCTGATGACCTGTAACTTATCTGCTTCATATCTTAAGTTCTAGAAATCATATCAAGGACTTCTAGTACTCAAAAGAAAGCTAAGAACATACCCTACAAGTCTCAGGTTGGAGTCAAGATGAGATGAGACTTGTATCTTGAGTTATGTGGTCTTGAAGTTAGGCACTAAACAGGGGATTTTACAATGTCATGTTTAGAAACCCTAGGTTAGCAACTTCTCCCAATCTTGAATATTGATGAATTGATCTTAGAACCATCTCATAGGTGTCTCAACACAACATTCCATGATCAAAGTTGCTTGGAATTGAGTCTCAAACTCCTTTGATTCAACTGTTGACTTAGGGTTGACCTGATGAAAACCCTAATTTCACCCCTTTGGTTGTGGCTTCTTGCACTTTGTATAATGACTTGTCCAAGCTCCATAATGACTCTCAAGACATCCCATGGGCTTCCTCAATAACTTCCATCCATAAACATGAACTTGTAGCCTCTTTATAACTTGCATTGACCCCCAAGATAGGAGATAGGCACACTTATATCCACCCCCTTCTCCCAAGAACTCTGGCTTTCTCTAGTGACTTGATGAGGATGATAACTTGAATAAAGCCTCTTGAATATCCCCAGAATCTTTGTTATCCCCTTCTTGATAGGCACATCTCTTGATTTCCTACACAACTGACAATGCAATGCATATGCTAATGCTAAGATGAATGTAATGAAACATAAGCTACGTAGAGGAAAAAAGGTTAGGCAAATTTTGGGGTGCAATATTATGAAATTGATAACTCTTTGTCCAAATAAGATAAACGGATGTTCTTGGCCATTTTGGAAAGCTGGGATAACATACTTCAACTTTGATGTTCAAAGTTTGTCTTGAATCAAAGTGGATCATGGAGGAAAATGACCCTAAAGTTGGCTCCAACACAAGACATATTTTGTCTTAAAGTTTCTCTAAGTGTTTAGGTCCAAAAGTATGAAACCTCCAACTTCATGACATCATATCTCTAAATCTATGCACTTTTTGAGATTTCCCATTAAAAGACAAAGTTCTAGTATGTAACAAGCTCTTAAATTTGGTCTTTGGATAAAAGAAAATGGTAACTTAGTTTAGAAGTTATGGCTTTGGAAAGTAAGGCAAATATGATTGAATTTTATAACTTGGAAAAAATTCAACTTCTACAATGTTGACCTTTTTACAAGTAACCACACTTTTGTTGATTTATCTTGTTCAATTATGACCAAACCACATATTATCATTATTCTTGACTTAAGGAAGTCGTGTTTGACCAAGAAATTCAAAAGTCAAACTTGACTTTGATCAGGGGTTGACTTTTGTATTAGATGAACTTGAACTTTGTGATCTTCAATAAAATAAAAAACTTTGGCTAATTGAACCCTATGGATGGACTCCAAAAGGTGTTTTTGAGTGTCTTGAATCATGTCCTAAGGCTTGAGATCATGTCCTAGTTTGTGGTCCATATGAATTTGAATCCTTGCATTGCTTATGAATCAAGTTCTTTGGATCAAACCAATCATATGAATGGACTAATACAATGCATTTTAGGTCCTTGAAACACATCTTGAGGTTTTGGATCATGCATTAATCCAAAAGTCAATCCAGGGACTGAATTATGTCAAAACCCTAATTTTGGTGTGCTGAGGATCTTGAGGCTTGATGAGATTGTCATGATGAAACTTTGTACTTAAATATTAATGAGGAGAGATCATTGAGTAATGTTTAATGGATTAGGGATTGAGGTATTGAGAATTCCAAAGTCCTTTGATTGTTCAAACCTTAAGCTTCTTGAGAGTAAAACCTTAGCTAGGATCAAAACACAACCAAAGCACATGTTCTTGATTTTAAAAGGGTTAGTGATGCATAAAGACACACACATGTGAAATGATTAATGTTATGCAAATGATGTAAATGAGGTGGCATCTTAGAGATGAAAAATTAGGGTATGACAATAAGATACTAAGATAACTCTAACATACACACTGAAATGTTTTATATGCCTATTTTCTTTTATAAAGTCACTAGAAAAAGCTTTACATAAGTATATAACTAGTTACTAGCTTGAATAATCCTTTATGAGTGTAGTTTACAATAGATAATTGATTATTGCATTATGGTTAATTGATTATCTCTTTTATGATGCCACATAATCGATTATTAAAACCTATACTCGATTAGTAACAATGTCATTTAAAACCTTCACTACTATCCTTTTCTAATTTTATCTCTTTTCTCCTTTTATATTTTTTCACTGAAAATTGTCGTAGTACCTTTTGAGTGAAAATACTTCTGAGAGGTGCTTGGACTTATTCGTGTTCATGAATAATTGTTTTTCATCAAGAGTGTGACAATTTTTCTTGACATATTTGGTTATTAAGAGTTTCCATATGAATTACATGTGTTGGTTCGGGTGATTAGCCGATAAAATCTTTATCTGGTTTGTGAGCTCAATCGTCAAAAGCTCCATTTTTTGGGGATCAACCTACTTAAAATATCTTGTATTTGGAATAAGTTTCATGGGCATATGATAAAAGCTCAAGATATTTTATAGTGGAACTCTCAGGAATAAATTATTGAGGGGAGAACGTAGGCCAAATGGTTTAGGTCGAATCTCTATAAATCCTAGTTTAATCTTTCTATCCCTATCTCTTTTGATTATGCTAGTTTATTTTCTTTCATCACTATTTCCTTCTCTCTTAATTTTTTATGCTTTTATCTTTGTAATATCATAAAACTTTTTCAAATTAATCACGATTTTTTCACTTCAAATCCACCCCCATTGTGTTTGGAGTCATGTTTTCAACAAGTTGCTCTCCCTTTTGGTTTCTCCATCAGGTTCTCCTCTCTAAATACCCAGCTAGGCAGTTCAGTAAACCATTCACTTTTTAGCAATCACAACACTAAGACCTCTTGTGTATTTTATCGCATGCATAATATCATACGTTGTACTCACCGGAAGTACACAACACAAAATATTAAAATAAATTAGGCTTAAATAGTCAATTGGTCTCTGTAAGTTGGTGTATTTTTGTTTTTTGTCCCTACATTTTTGTGCGTGGATATAGTCCTTAAATGTTGAATTTCATTTGGTTTTAGTCCCCAAAGTTAAAATTCGCAGAAAAATCAGCAGGTTTATGCGGATTTTAAATTAGGAACTAATACCAAAAGGATTTTAATATTTATGGATTATTTCTAACAAAAAAAATATACAAAAAGACGAAACCAAAAACACGTCAACTTAAAGGGACCAATTGGCTATATAAGCCAAAAAAATATTATTTTAATTATTTCTTTTTTAAATAGACATTTATATTTATATTGATGTTTACATTTTAAAACATATTTTCCTTGACTACCTTCATTGTATTCGAAATTAAAAGTTTAATGAGACGTCACTTTTTCGCAGATATGCATTTGGCCAACTTGATTATTTTAAAATTTTATAATTTAATATTATGAATTCAATCCATAGTTATAAATGTTTAATGAACTTTAGTATAATAATATTAACTTTTTCCATTTAAATTAAATAAATGTGTTTATGTTTCCAATTTTAAAATCTTATTTAATTAGGGAAGGGGTGACCAATGAGAAACGCGCTCTGACGTGTTTCCCTTTTTATTTTACGAGAGTTTTATTTATGTAATCTATATAAAAGGGTTTTAAGCTCAATCATGTATATCAAAGAGAATAAAGTAGACAAGATAGTTCAATCGTGCAAAACAAAAAGAGTAAAGTAGACAAGATGGCAGCAGAGAAATCAGGAATGCAACAAGGAAACAATGAAAAAGATTTTATCCGATCTAAAAGTTCCAATGGCTTAATTCTTTCATTATCAAGTATGATTTCATATGCTTATATACTCCATCTTTTAATTTTGTTAATTTTTAAGATGTATTATCATGGCTATCATATCATTATCGGTATATGTTTTTTAAAATTAAGTATCAAATATTTAGCATATAGTTTTCTTGCATATGTTGTTTTTGGATATTGTTTTTCCCTATATGCCTCGAGTTTTGAAAATATGCAGTGTTTTAGTGCGTATGACTTTCTTCGTTGTGGAGTCTGGGGTTGTTTTTGCAGCTGAACCATGATCGATAGGTTACAAGATAGAAAGCCTTGTCGTTTTTCCTATGTTCCCATTTAAATTTTCCTTTGTTGAAATCTCAATTTTGTTTCTTTAATTTTCATTTTATTAATTAGATGATTCTCGTGTATGAGAAAATTTACTTGTGTTGAGAAGCCACCATTAATTGCAACAATTTTTTATGGCCATTATACATCTTCCAACATGTTCACAATATAGAGTTTGAGGTGGTGTGTTGAGTTTATAATTGTCCAAATATATAGTATTTCTTATAAGGCTTACATTTTACAATTCAACTTTGTGGTTTTAATTTTCATCTCATGTCCAATTTCTAAGATGATATCAAGGTTTATCTAAATTTGTTGTTGGGCCACCCACACCTTCCATGCTCCAGGTGCATAGCATTCAGCATAATTGTTGGAAAGTCTCTTTAATTGTTCATTGCCCTAGCCACCTTTATTATAAATAATTTAGATTTCCCTTATTTCAATCTTAAATACCTTCACTTTACTAGGTGTGAATTTAGTTACACGTACTCTAGAAACAATGTTATACTTTAAGGAAAATATTTTAGGATTATTATACTATTTTGAAACATTCCTTTATCTTGTAATTTTCAATGATATTATTAGATAAATGAATAAAATTATATGCAATCTTATTATAGATATTCTAAATCGCCTAACATTATTATTGTAGGAGGGAAGAAAATGGAAAACGATATTGATTTCAGCCAACTTCCTTGGAATGTGCTTGATACCATTTCCCAAAAACTAAGTTTTGACGATCTCTTTGATTTCGCAAGTGTTTGCAAAGAGTGGAGGGTAGTTAAGAAGATTTATTGGAAAAACTTCCTAGAATCTCAATCACCATTACTTGTGGAAACAACATCATATGCTAAGAAATTTTATTCTTTTTATAGCATACCTGACCAACGTGCTTACCTCTCTGAGATGAGTTATTTTTGGGGATTATTCTATTGTGGTTCTTCCAGTGGATATATAATCATGGCAGGTGCCAACAAAACACTACAACTAATGAACCCCTTTACAAGAAAGCAGCACAATATTGGTATCTCAACAATTATAAATTATTTGAATTATTGTGCTTGTCGTGTCTTACTTGCTTTTGCCAAAGGCTCTGGTGAGTTTGTTATAGTTGCTTCCTGCAAATCTTCATTCAACTTGCATGTCTATCAGTCACGAAATTCTAGTTGGGTAACTAATATCGAAAAAGGAAATCCATTGAAGGTTGTGGACTTTGTTGTTTTGCATAATATAATTTATGTTATCACTAACAAGGCTGAAATTGGGGTACTTAGCTTGAACTCTTCAAGTTTGAAATTTCTAAAGCTAAAAAATACTCCAGACATAACTTCTTCTTTCCCCCAGTTACTTAGTTGTGATGGAAAGCTTCTGGTAGTTTACTTTATACCAGGGAGACTATTAGATGTCTACATGATAGACTTCGGAACAATGAGTTATACCAAGCTAGAAACTTTGGGTGACATTGCATTATTTTATTCGCGTAACAAATGTTATGCATTAGCGAATCCGAGAAAATGGGGCTATGAGAGTAACTCTGTGTATTATATTAATTGTATGTCTACAGAATGTGAAGTGTATTCAGGGAGTAGTAATGAACGGTTGAAATGCATTGTGCCTGTTGGTAGACGTCGACCTTCTCGTAGATCAAGTAGATCAAGAACTTATTGGTTAGATTGGTGTTTTCGAAATCTACATGATGAAGTAGATTATTCTCTTGTTGACTAGTCTATTCACTTATGTACTATGTATCTTGTTGTGTGATCTTTCATGCTTGGATCATATTGTTCCTGATATTTTCCTTTTTTTTCCCTTGTACTTTAAATATACTAGAAACTTTTGTTATGGTTTCTTTAGTTTCACAATCTTCATGTAGATTATGCGGCTTTTGATGAATATTACTTATGAACATGGTGATTATTTCAATTTATATAAAATATCTTAGAAGTTTTAGGTTTAAAAGGATTTATGATTATGTTATATATATATATGTTAAGAAATATGGTTTTGACCTAACTAAATTTTACAAAACCAACTTGTATGGTGAGGACTGCCCTCACTTATATATGTGTGTGTGTGTGTGTGTGTGTGTGTGTGTTTGTGTTAAGAAATGTGGTTTTGACCTAACTCAGTCTTACAAAACCAACTTGTAGGGCAAAGATTGCCCCCACTTATGAACACATGTTAATGTCATATATTATCTGATGTGAGACTCTTAACATATCTTTATAAGTGGGGGTAATCCACACCCTATAAGATGATAATATAGGAATGAGTTAGGTCAAAATCTAATTTGATCATGGTATCATGTACCTATCGATTAAGATCACCCACCATTTATATATAAACACCAAACCCAACAATATTCTTGGGAACAAGGAGGTGTATTAGAAAAATAAAGTCTCTCTCACACACACACACACACGCACGTGCACACATACACATGCACACACACGCGCACACACACACACACACAAACACACACACACACACACACACACACACACATATATATATATATATATATATATATATATATATATATATATATATATATATATATATATATATATATATATATATATATATATATATATATATATATATATATATATATATATATATATATATATATATATATATATATATATATATATATATATATATATATATATATATATATATATATATAGAGAGAGAGAGAGAGAGAGAGAGAGAGAGAGAGAGAAAGTATTGTAAAAAAAGTATAAAGTTTGTGTGTGTGTGTTCCCCCTACAGGGGCAGGGAGACTCAGAGACCCTAGTAGGTATATTACATGAATGGGATGAGAAAAACACGGGGGTGAGGCGGTACCTACCTTCGGGAAACCTTGTTTCTTCCACCTTTACATAGGGTAGCTCCAAACTACTATTATAGGTATGGATATTTGCAAAAATAACACAACACAGGCCCTCAAACACGAGTCATTTGACAGGGTGCGAAATGTTTTCTGTAACACCCCAAATTTATTGGAATATTTATTTAATTTATTTAAATATGAATATTCGCATTTTTGGTGATTTTCGGTGGTTGGTGTGAATATTGAGAATTATGGATTTTGAGTTATTTATTTAAATAATAGTATATAATATGAATATATTGATATTATTATTAACTTAAATAAATATAAGTGAGTTAAGGGCAAAATGGACATTTAAGGAGGAGTTAGTAAGGGTGAAATTGGAAAGCCCATTTTAAGGCCCAAAGTTAGGTTTAACAAAAAGGAATTTTGAGAGAATTAGGATTCATTCTTGTTAAACCGTGAAAAGAGAAGAAATAGAGGCCAGAGCTCTGAGGAAGAGGACTGAGGCAATGCTCCACAAGGTTTCCAAGAATCAAAGAGAAAGGCTTAGAGTCAGCAATTAAGATATGAGGAGTATTGTCTTCATTGTTTTTAATATATGATTTAATGTATTTAAAGCCGATTTAAAGGTTTAGGGATTTTTGAGTATTGGATTGTTGTTGCCTTTCTGGTGACGAGTTCAATGAGTTTGACGGATTTGAACCAATGTTCTGATAGGTTTGAGGTTGATTTAAGAGTAAGGGAAACTAGACCTTCATGGCCAAATCTTTTGTTGAGGTTGTTTAACCGTATAGAGTAAGTCATTGCGAGAACTTTAATGACTGTGGGGTATTTGTAAGAAATTATAGAAATTGGAGGCATAAATAGGATACGGGATTGGCCTAATAAGTCGTAGATTTTGTGCCTTTATCACCGTAATACCTTAAATGGTTTAGGGATGTTATTAGAGCATTGGGGAAGGAAATCATAGAGGTTTTTGGGCTGGTTTTGCTACAGGCGCGTAACAGTGTTTTGTTGTAATCGCGAGTTCGCACAGCGAACAATCCTTCACACAGCGAACACTCGCCCCAGACTCACACAACGAACTTGCTAGAGAATGTAGTAGAGTTTCGCGAATTCTGATCATGTGCAGTGATGTCTTGACGTTTTGATGTTGTGATTTCTTTGATGAATTACCATGAGTATGACTATGATTCTTCTTAGATTAATACATGATTGTATGATGATTCCTATGAGTAATGATGATGAGTTATGATGTTGATTTCATGAGTTTTTATGATTCTATGATGACATAATTATTATGATGATTTTGATTTTGATTATGCACCTAATGAGTTTATTATGAGGATTATGCGTGTGCATCATGCATTCATATGCATTCCGGACTTCGGTCTAGGACCTTGATTCTTTTGCCTTTAGTCCTATTGTGCGGATGTGAGGTATTTTGTTGTGCTCCGGTTCTCGTGTAGAATCGATCCTACTGTTGTGGATCTACGGAGGGTTGATGGTCCAATGTCCATCGATTTTTTTTATTGGTACCACATGCATGAGTCTTGTTGCATTTGCATTTATGTGACAATTTGGTGTAATTTATAATGTTGTGGCCTTTGATGTTCCTTGATGATTATGATGATGTTGAATATGAAAATGACGTTGTTTTATATATTGATTCCTATATTGATTATTATGAATCATTTTACTCACCCTGCTTGTTTGAATGTTGACTCCGCATGGGTAACGTGCAGATTACCAGGTTTAGTCGTGGATGTCGTCGAGGACTTTTTGGAGTTTTTGACTTTTGGTTGACTTAGAGGTTCTTGCTCTGATAGCGTAATATCGGGTTGGGGTCTTTTGAGTTGAACCATGTTTTATTGATTATTATTATTATTATTTTGATTAAGTTACTGCGCAAGGAAAACTTTGGATTTTTGCCTTTTTGAGTTCCGCTGCCTTTTGAGTAATATTTTGAGTAATTTTGGGAAAACCCGTTGTTTACGGAGCATTGACTATATTTGGATTATTGAGAAATATGTTCCTTTTTGAGATGATTTTATTGTGTTCAATATTTTACTCTGATAAATATGATTGATTTGCCATTATATTTGTGCGGTAGAAAATGGTGTTACGTTAGTGGTATCAGAGCCTGGTTGGCCCGTCCGGCCAAGTTGTCTAATGTTATTTGTTCCCTAGTATGCGACATGTGTGTGAAAACACTGTCGATACACGTTTGTTTTCTAAACTTTGTCTGCAGAAGTGGGAATGAAACAACAGGGGGAGAAGCTTGTGGTTCTCTAGGATGCTTCAAGTGTGGAGTGGTGGCTCAGTATGTTGATGAATGCTCTTATAGTTTGGTAAAGATGGTGTATGCCCCATCATGATTTTCGGCTGTCTATTGACAAATTGAGGAACTGATTACCCTTAATATCTTGTTGATAGTAGACGGAGTCATGTTGGATGGGATAGACGTGTCTTACAAGCTTAGATGGCGTGTGCAGTGAATTATTTTGAGTTAAGCTAAGTGCTTACAAATTATTTTGGTGAGTCGATGCAGGATGGTGCTGAGATGTTTATTTTGATGGAAACTTTGAGTGTTAATAAAGTGGGAAAGTTGGTGGTGTACCAATTATTTGTGATTATCTAGAAGTTTTTCCTAATGAGATAAGTGATTTACCGCCGGAACGTGAAATGGAGTTTACGATTGACCTAGTTCCTGGAACTAGTTTGGTAGCAATGACTCCATATCGTATGTCCACACTGGAATCAAAGAAGTTGAAGAATCAACTTAAAAATCTGCTTGAGAATATGTTCTTTTGTTCGAGTGTGTCACCGTGGGGTGCACCAATTTTGTTAGTTAAGAAGAAAGAAAGTTCTTGAGGCTTTGTGTGGATTATAGACAATTGAACAAGATGACTATCAATAATAAGTGCCCACTTCCAAGGATTAATGATTTGATGGATCAGTTGGTTGTTGCAAGTGTGTTTAGTAAGATAGATTTGAGATCTGGGTATCAACAGATCTGCTTTTTAAAATAAGGTATGGACATTATGAGTATTTCATGATGCCATTTGGTGTGACTAATGCATCATGTGTATTTATGGAGTATATGAACAAAATTTTCTATCCTTATTTGGACAAGTTTGTGGTTGTGTTCATTGATGATATGTTAATATATTCGAAGAGTAAAGGGGATCATGCTGAGCATCTAAAAATTGTGTTATCAGCATTGAAAGAGAAGCAGTTGTATGCAAAATTGTCAAAGTGTGAGTCTTGGTTGAAGGAAGTGAGTTTCCTTGGTCATGTGATCTCGAGTAGAGTTATTTCAGTTGATATGTCGAAGGTTGAAGCTGTATTGCAATGGGAAGCTCAAAAACCTGTTTTTGAGATTAGAAGTTTTCTTGGGTTGGCAGATTATTATCGAAAATTCATTGAAGGATTTTTCTAAGTTACCTTTTCCATTGACGTAATGTACTAGGAAGGTTCAAGCTTTTGTTTTGGATGCAAAGTGTGAAGAAAGTTTCAAGAGCTTTTGCGAAGGATGACAGCAGCTTATGTTTTAATTTTTTCGAATCAGGCAGAACCATTGTTGTATATTGTGATGCTTCGTTAATGGGATGGGGAGGTGTGTTAATGCAACATCAACAAGTTTTAGCTTGTGCTTTAAGGCAACTTAAAGTGCATGAGAGGAATTATCTAACATGGGATTTAGAGTTGGTTGTTATTGTGTTTGTGTTGAAGCTTTGGAGGCATTATTTGTTTGGTTTGAGATTTGAGATGTTTAGTGATCATAAGAGTTTGAAGTATTTCTTTGATCATAAAGAATTGAATGCGAGGCAGAGGAGATCATTGGGACATCTGAAGGATTATGGTTTTGGTTTGAATTACCATT